GTTTTAAGATCCCAGACCTATGGGGCCACTTGGTTGTGTCGTTTTTGGGGATACCGGGGTTGGTGTAAAGGGAAGCCAACAGGACAACCTGGGTTCCCCAAAAAAGCGCCCATTTCGTGTTTTTTTTGGTTCTGTTCTTTTTTCTTCGCGGGGGCTTCCCTGGAAAAGCCGACGCAAGTTGAGGGTGCAGAAATGGCCTGGAGGCTTGGAGCAAAACAGCGAGTTGGAGAGACCAATGAGCAGGGGTTACGCCCCCACCCCTCCAGCCATCGAAGGAGCTTGATGCTGCCATCCCTTCACGTGGCGTCGCTCGACTTCACGCGTTGTTTCTCATGCGGGGGAATCTCCCCCCCTAACAATTGTAATTTGAGGGGGGGAGTACCCCAGTGAAATTTCAACACGGAGGGGGCCAAAATAAAAATGTTCGAAGGGGCCCCTCCAAAACTGGTGCCTCTAAAACAAAATGGCTCGAAAACCACCAGAATAATCACAACGCTTCCAAGAAACTGCGGCTTTCGGGCTTTGAGCTGCCACCAAACCGAACGCTCGTCCCAGAAAAGGGTTGCATTTGTCTTCGGGGTTGGGGTCCACTTTTGAAATATTTCAAGGGCTACCCCCCCAAAAAAAAGAAATAAATTGCATTTTTCGAGGTCCCCCACTCCCCCCCCCCCCCTTAGGGACGGGGATTTGCGGGGGATCCCAATGTTGATATTTGCTCAAAGGGACCCGTTCTGGCAATATGAGTTCGATACCAGTTTGATAGCACTTTCGGATGGCGCGAATTGGGACCCAAAGCGGGCCGAACCAATTTTGCAAACCACGTGCCATTGTCAGGTGACTACCATTGGCTCTCCGCCGCTGCAGCGACCGCGCCTCAGCTTTGCTGCGAATATTTGTCTCCCTAGCCGGTTTGAGGCGTCTGCGATTCCTTTGCCTTACGTGGGTGACCAAGGCGGTTGCCCTTTCAAATCCAGAAGGACATGTTGCTTATTCATCAAGTGTGGTCTACTGCGATGGTTGTGGAAAGGGGGAAGGGGTTTCTTTGCTATTATACTTTTGGTGAATACCCTTGGGGATGCCCCAAACCATAACCCTGTTTCCAGAATCGAGGCTGGTGCTTCACTTCCGGTGCCGGCCTGGCGGTGTGTCGGTGACCCAAGAAGGAAGGAGACAACTGGGCGCGTGGAACAATCCCCACATTTGCTTGGTGCTGAGTTACGGCACACGGCGGCACCAAGGCCCAAGAGGAGGCAACCCCCCTGTTGATTTTTTGTTGTCAGCAGAGGAAAAAGGGCTCAGAACCAAGCGATGTCTATTTGTTTTACTCGGTTTGACCAACTTAATTCTTGATTAAATGAGTACTGACCCATCCGCGTAGGGCAAAGGAAGGATTTGCCGGGCATATCCAGCGCAACTGCAAGTATTGGCAGGAATGTGGCGATTGTGCTGTTGAGCACGCGGTTCCCACGATGGAGTCCGACAAAGTGTTCCTGTTGAGGAACATGGTCCTGTTATGTCCGTCTCAATGGCCTCTTTTGGCAGGTTCCACGTGAGAGGGAGGGACGAAAGGAGACAGGGAGAGAGGGAGGGAGGACGCATGCTTCCTTCCACGGCCAGGACGCTCGATTGGAATGCAGTTGCGAGAATGGTCAGCGGAGATTCTTTATTCTCGGGATGGGAGAACTTTGCCCAGCATCCATGTCATTCTATGTCTTGCGGACACGGATAATTCTCAAAGTAGGGAACTCCTGAAGCCTGAATCTTGCGGGTTTCCTTTTGGTTTCCGCCAAGGCAGGTTCCCAAACAATCAAGCTCCCGATTTTATGTCCCATTGCCTTTCGGGAAACTACGAATGTTGTACTTGGGCTCTCTTTTGGAGTCAGCCCCAGGCTCGCATGTTTTTGCCCGTGTTTCATGTCGAGAGACTCCACACCCTAGATGAGGTAACCCTTACTTGGAAGCTTAAGTTGGTGGTTTGAGAAGTTGAACCTCTGGCTCTGGAGGAAAATGGTAGACCTCTCAACCCCCAAACCACGAAGCCAGCAATAAGGAAGCTGACTAGGCCATGGCCCTTGGTCACCGGGCCCCGTAGGCCGGAGCCCTTCACTGTGGCCTGTGGCTGCCGCTTTCTGGGCTGGCTCGTCGCAGGGCCCTCGGATCCGAGCGAAGAGAATCGAGAGAATCCGAGTTTTGGAGCTATGAGAGGCCGCCGACACGGAACCCAGGTGCCCCAGTCAGATTCTATCTTAGTTTGGGGGGGTGACTCTGAATTGGTGTTGGAGGCAAAGCCAATTTCTGACTTTAGGGTGAACGCTTGTCAAGTTCGCAGACAATTTGTGTTGAAAGACCCGCAATAGCCACCGTTGCCCAAGAGCAGTGAAGAAGCTTGCTGGCTGGCAGCGTTTCAAGACGGCGATTCGCACTGGAAAGGTTTGGTTCGCAGATTCAGGCCAGAGAGCACAAGAGCAGCCAATAGCAATCCTGGAAGCATGTGACCAAACGGCGGCTCTCCGGGACCTTTAGTTGCCAAGTCCTACCGGAAGGCTGGGCCAACCCGATGGACGACCTTAGGCTAAACGGGCCCCAGGTTCCCGTGACCAGCGCACGCCCACATCTCGCGAGGACAAGAAGCTGGGCACGCCACCGGCTGGCATTGTTCGCGGGCGCCCCAGGCCCAAGGCCTGCGATTTTTTGGGGCTCCCTACTGGATGGTCCTCGTTTGTTGGGCTCCACCCTTGCAATTCCTTTTAGGCAAGCCTTTTTCGGAAGTTGTGGTGACCTTTCCTAAATCATTATCAAGCGTTCCTATGTTTGCAAGTCAAGTCATGCTTGTCCTACTTAGTTTGGTAAACGGCATGCGATGATTCAGTGACCCAAGGTCATAGCGGTGTGCGTGCGTGTGTTGTTTTGAGGGTAGCTGCTCATGTCGTTTTGGAGGGGGACCAACTGGAAAGCCATCATTTGTTGGGTCCCAATGTCAACGCAAACCGATACCAACTTGAGCCTGGACAAATGTTATTGGTTTCTTTTTTGGACTTGGGGACGACCAAAGCGGTGGGAGAGTCTTCTTTTCGGGGTAGCCCTTTTTGGTGCTCCTTCTGTTGGATGCTGCGTAGCTGCTAATTCCCCAAACAGCGAAGCATTGGGGTTCTAACTTGAGGTATAGAGAATAGGAAAGTGTGACGCCGATTCCGGGGTCCTGTTTTCCGCTTGTCTTCCTGTCTCCCAGTCTCTCCGGTCAGATGCCAGATGCTGTGACGCTGGCTCCAGGGTCGTGTCTCCCGCTTGTCTCCCTGTGTCTCCCAGTCTCTGCGGTCAGATGCCAGATGCTGTGACGCGGGCTCCGGGGTCGTGTCTCCCGCTTCTCTCCCAGTCTCTGCGGTCGGATGCTGTGACGCTAGCTCCGGGGTCGTGTCTCCCGCTTGTCTCCCTGTATCTGGATGCGAGATGCTGTGACGCTGGCTCTGCGCTGACGCCAGCTGCGTGTCTCCCGGGATGTGTTTCCCGCTTGTCTCCCTGTGTCTCCCAGTCTCTGCGGTCAAATGCCAGATGCTGTGACGCTGGCTCCGGGGTCGTGTCTCCCGCTTGTCTTTCTGTGTCTCCCGCTTGTCTCCCTGTGTCTGGATGGTGATGCTGGCTCTGGGGTCGTGTCTTCCGCCTGTCTTCCCCAGTCTCTGCGGTCAGATGCCAGATGCTGTGACTTGTCTCCCTGTGTCTCCCAGTCTCTGCAGATGCTGTGACTCCCCCCTGTTTCTCCCAGTCTCTGCGCTCGTTGCTGCCAGCTGGCTGTTTTCCTGCTTACAGCCCTCAGCAGGAAAAATGAAGTTCCCGGGCAAAATTAACTGAACCTGTTTCTTGCTTGGCATCCAGTAACCGGCGTTCGGCTCCCTACGGCTCCCTTTGGCTCACGTGGCAGCAGCTCGCAAAGCGCAATTGAGAAGCATCAAGCTAGAAACATAGATTCGGCAAGTCAGCAGGAACCACTTGCAACAATGTTTCGGAACGGGGAAAGAGCATGTTGCAGATTTTGCTGCTAGCCTGCGTGCAAAGGATGTGCCTCTCTCTTGGCCAAGCGCAAGTTTGCATCCTTGTGGAGCATCGTTGGAGCTAGAAACAAGCAATGTCGAGCCTTACATTATTTGTCGTTAAACAAACAAATCGTGACATTTGACTGATTGCCTTGCTCAGGAAACTGAGCTGCTTTTTAGAAGCCAGTGCCGCACTTCTTGGCCAAGTGCAGGTTTGCATCCTTGTGGCGCATCAGCAGGGCCCTGTCGAGCCTTTAATATGTCTATGCTTCTCTCGATGAAAAACAAATATATAGTGACATTCGGCTGATTGCGTTTTGGAAGCCAGTGCCGCATACTTGGTCAAGTGCAGGTTTGCATCCTTGTGGCGCATCAGCGGAGCCCTGTCAAGCCTTAAATATGTAGACTGGTTTCAATAGACAAATACGGCTGATACTGAGCTGCTTTTTGGAAGCCAGTGCCGCACTTCTTGGTCAAGTGCAAGTTTGCATCCTTGTGGCGCATCAGCTGAGCTCTGTCGAGCCTTAAATGCTTGGTCAAGTGCAGGTTTGCAGTCTTGTGGCGCATCAGCTGAACAAATACCGTGACGTCCGGCTGATACAGAGCTGCTTTGTGGAAGCCAGCGCCGCTTCTTGGTCAAGCGCAGGTTTGCATCCTTGTGGCGCATCAGCAGAGCCCTGTCGAGCCTTGAATGTGTTGATTTTGTTCTCGGTAAACAATTTCTTTGCTCAGGATTCTGAGCTGCTTTTTGGAAGCGCCGCACGTGTTCGTCAAGTGCAGGTTTGCACTCTGGCGCATCAGCAGAGCCCTACCGAGCCTTAAATATGTACTGTTGTTCTCGATAAACAAATACCGTGGCATCCGCCTGATTGCTTTGCTCAGGATTCTGAGCTTGCTTTTTGGAAGCCAGTTGGTCAAGTGCAGGTTTGCATCCTTCTGGCGCATCAGCAGAGACCTGTCGAGCCTTAAATG